AAAATAATTGGTCGTGCTTCTTACAGCGCCACGGCTTTCACAGATGAAATTTTTGTATGTATTTATTGTCAAAGCATTTAATATATTCATTACTATCGGGATGTTAAGAGTATTCCATGGAATATAACAAAAATGGTTTCTGAAGTGAATTATACGGAGCCCCTAAAGGTTCATGGAGAGAAAAAAAAATCTAGTGCGCACAATGTACTTTCTCGTTCGCACAAAATACTATTTCGTGAAAGGTACCGGTGCGCCAAGTAGGAAGTGGAGCACAGAGGAGACAACCGTTTCATTGCAGATTGTTATGTTTATGTGGAGAAATGTCAGTGCATACATTATTTGAGATATATTTCAAATTCGGACTTCATTTAGGGACATTTTGGTTAGGGGTTTAGAGCTATTTGTTTAAGCACCGGATTCGCAAAACAGAAGAGTCTGTAAACCAGTCTGCTTTGATCTATGAATTCCTGTCCGTGACTCTCATAGTATCTGCTGCCCACAGCTGTTTTATAGAAGGAAAACCTCCTTCACTTTATGAAATCTCTGCGGCACCAATGGCCTGTACTACGAAGCAGGATTTGCTATTTACTATTCATTCATGAAGTATGACGCTGCGCTGTCAGTACGCTTCTCCATGTTTGTGATTGGTCAAATGTTGCTAACCCCGTCCCTTTCAGGTGAACGCGCTCTCAGCCGGACAGAAAAAGTATATAGTTGGAACGAGAAAGTATATCGTGCACACAAATTAATAAAACGTGGCCTTGTGTTATTTAAATTGAGGCCACGAATTACATCTCGTGCGCACAAATTAATAAAGCGTGGCCTCGTTTTATTTATTTTTCTCTCTATGAACCCTATGAAGCGTGTCCATATCCAAACTAAAAAAAACCTGCCTATCCTCAGTTCTTGTCGTTACTAGGGGAATATAAAAAAAATACTTTGTTTCGATTATTGTGCACACGTCTTTGTGGCTTAAGCCTTACATTGTCTTGTTTCTTTTGACTCAGGAGTCTGAAAAAGAAAACCAGGAGATCAACTTCTTGCATCAGTCCAACACGTTTCAAACACAACACAAAGAGAGGAGAGACACTGAAGTTATCCAAATGATCTCTGAGAAAACAGGGCCACCACATTCCACCAAAGAGTCCCTGAAGGTCTCGGGGCAGAAGCAGTCCAGATCATCTGAGTGTCCTCCTGAGGCCACACCTGATGGTCTCACAGCAACCAGCGAAACAAACACAACCCATGGTTCCTCAGGGAAACATGGCAGGACAGAAATGAAAAGTGTCAGCAGTCAAACGGAAGAGAGTTTGAACCCTCGCAGTGCTCCACCTGAACTCCACTGTGCGCACACACAGACTGAGGAAGAGGAAGAGGAGGAGGAGGAAGAGTTGGTAGAATCCCCTCCTGTCTCTCCTATCACACGATCTGAAGCAGCAGAGTTAGGACTCAAAGTGTTGTTTTCGGGTTCCTTCCCCATCCCGTCTGACCCGGCCCGTCTGGCTGAACGAATCCGTCGCAACAGGACGCAGCTGTCGGCCGCCTTCGACGACACCGAGTACGAACCCTACGGACTGCCGGAGGTCGTCATGAAAGGTAACTTTGTTCCTGTAACGAGAATACACACACATAAGAAACATGTTTAGTGTGTTCCAGCTACACAGTGAGAGCCATGCGGTGAAAGCTGGATTATAAATAGCCCGACTGTCAGAAGTGTTTATGGGCACAGTCTCCGAGTATCTGAATCTCGCTTGTGACTGTACAGAAAACAGAAGTTTCTGCTCTCTGTTCTTCATCACTCTGTTCTTCATCTTCTTTCCCCCTAATCCTCTTATTTATCCACCTGTCGGCCCTTCTTCCCGTCCTGCAGGTTTTGCCGACATCCCCAGCGGTCCTTCGTGTCCCTACATCGTGAGGAGAGGTTTGTTAGGAACGTCTGTGGTACCTGCGCCTCAGAAAGACTGGAGACAGGAGGAGGAGACGGATTAAAGCACAGCTACAGGTAACCTTCAGAGACAAGTGGACAATCAGTGTTACATTAACCAGTTAAACCCCACGGCCCCACGGGCGGGGGCAAAACGCAACATCTTGCGAGAAACAGCGTGTGAGGGCTTCTTAATGTTTAACAAACTATGAATGTGTCATACCCACTTAACGGGAAGAAACTCAGCTACCTGACAATATTAATATCAAAGGCTCTGAATTAACCCTGAGCGAAAAAATCATAGACCTTAGCATAGAACTCAAGGTAAAATACCCTTATTACTTATCGGATCTGCACAAACAAGCTATCGATTAGCGAGCTGACATTCCACAGATTCCAGACATATAAGTATCATCACTGAGCGATCAGAGCTTGCAGCGAAACTACAACAACAACAACAACATTTGCTTTACGGAGCCAAAACGGCTAAAAACGTCCTATCTCTGTTGTTTTCTGATCAAATTCAATGGCATTACAACGATAAAAACGCTGCTGAAGGTTAATCCAATGTCTCTGTGTCACTTTGAAATGATTACTGATAATCCATCATTCCATTTTATGTCAATAACGGAGATTTCACATTAGCTGCTATGATAGTTATGTTTATGTGGA